CCACGAACTGAACAATCTGCTACACAGACTTTCTAGTTCAGATATCATAGTGCTTGCAGAGGATATGAATGCGCAAGTAGGTCGTCTGAGCTCTTCAGAATCTAAGCTAAGTAGTAAGTATGGATTTAACTTCGGCCCTACAGACTAGGGCGAGTGTCGCTTACAGCTGCGTGCGGAGCATCGGCTGTTTCTTAGTAGTACCACTTTTAGACACAGTTGGGGTCCACCTATAGCCGAGTAGCAATGAACCCAAACATATCACATTGCCAGAGTTTACAGGTGGGGTGAAATACCTGCGCGGACTCTGATCATGCCTTGGTACGCTGTTGATTTTCCACGAAATTTATCGGGAGGTGCGCCAAGCGGCTCCCTCAGTTGACAAGTGAGAAGTTATCTCAGCCTTCGGTCAAGCAGACTTACCAGCACGCCCTGCGTGCCGAATTTTCGCTCTCTTATTCTAGTGACACTGAGCTTCACCGCAATAGGATCCTGACCGCCATGCACGAAAGCTTCCGCACCAGTCACTGGATCTCCGAGAGGTCGGTGAACCTGTTAGAATTAAGAAGCAAACTCCCGGATGGCTCTGATCACAATGTAATTAAGCGGACTATTAAGTGCTAACTATGGCAGAGTCTGCGCGCTGACGAGATAGCCCAGTGGACCATTCGACTTCAAGAAATGGAAGAAGCAGGAGTACTAGCCAATTTTCACAGGCTCTTTCAAATGATCCGCACCACTGGTCCCAGAAAACCAGGCATCAGTGAAACAATCAGAGACAGCTCAGGAACCCTGATTCCCAGTAACCAGCGCGCTGTGGCTCATTGGTCGGAGCATTTTCGAAAATAGTTCAATTGTCTCCCTGCTTCTGGATCTCTTCCTGTTCAGGTGTTGCAGGCTGAGCCATGGCCGGTTAGTTTAGAGGCCCAGTCGGAGGCTGTGGTCCGAAACGCGATCACAGCTCTCAATCGTTTTCGTGCTGCTGGCCCGGGTTCCCTGCCACCTACACTGTTTAAGGGTGGAGGTGAGGTCCTCTGCAAAGTACTGACCCCCATTCGAGTATTTATGGAAGGAGGAGACTATCCATGACAACTGAAGTGAATCGACTATAGTGGCAATTTACAAGAAGGCAGCAACTGTGCTAACCACGGGAGTATTAGCCTAACGCCGGTGGTGACACAATTACTGGTCTCAATTCTCGTTCGCAGTTTAACTGCGGAATGAGAATCCCGGATTAGAGAAGAGCAGGCAGATTTCCGCCTAGGACGTGGCTGTATAGACCACATATTCACTTTGCGGCAAATGCTAGAGCATCTCCACAAGTACCGCAGGCCGACTATAGCTGCGATCGACTCAGCCAATCGATGCATTATGTTTGTAATGCTTATGCGGTAAGGCGTTCCCATGAAATATGTGAACATATGACGTGGCTTGTACTCTAAAACTATAGGCGGCATCAGGGTCTGCGGTGATTTGTCGGATGCCTTTCTGACAGCAAGTGGCGTTCGTCAGGGTTGTCCGATTTCCCCGTTTTGGTCAATTTCTTCGTGGAATCCGTCATAGAGTGTCACGGAGTGTTACGGAGCCTCACGATTCAGTCGTTGACTTGCTGCCTGGTGAAATGCTATTTGATCTTGATTATATCGACAATATTGTCTTGCTTTTTAGCGATGCTGGGGCGGCACAATCAACCCTGAATAACCTCTGTGGAGTGGTCTCATCATTTAGCATGCGTTTCACACCGTCAGTGCTGTTACAAGACCAACAGCCACTTGATGACCCCTTGACCCATGGTGGCGAGGAACTCGAGGTAGTTGATCACCACCTACCTTGGCAGCTGCATCAGCAACGATGGGCGCACAAGGACTGAAGCCAGTTCACGACTTGCAAAAGCTAGAGCTGCATTTTTGAATCTGCGGCATCTTTGGCGCCAGAAAGGGGGTTCTATCCGTTTGAAACGCCGTGTTTACAAGAGCATAGTGAGGACCTCTCTACTTTGTGCGAGGGAATCTTCACTCCTTCAATTTGAGGGTTTACAGCGCCTTCAAATCTTTGATCATCGTTGTTTGCGAACCACTGCTGGTGTCGGATGGCACCGGCGTGTCCCCAACGATGATATGCTTAAGCGAGTACTATGCAGTGATAACCAAGATAATTGCTTAGAATAGCATATAGCACAAAATAAGTTGCGTTTGATTAGGCACGTAATACGTATGCCTAGTCTCCGTTTACGGAGGAGGGCGTTGTTTTGGTTGCCAAATGTAGGATAGCGCAAGGCACTAGGTGGGAAAAATTAACTAGGCAGCGAGAAATGAAGTCATTGAAGAACAATCTGGGTGCCATCGGTACGTTTCTCCTTCCAGACTGGAGTCCACGTGACCCGCATTGTGCTTAGCTAGAGGCTTTACAGGACATGGCTCGTGGGTCGCACCGGGGGCGTCTGCTGTCGTCTCCTGGTCGGATTGCCTTTTTAACGTATTTGGTGCCAAGTTGTCTGTGGGGTATTGGCTATGATGACATGGGGCAGTGAAAGCCGCAAAGAAGCGGTCGCACCGATACCGCCTTTGTACGATAGTCAGCGTGTGTTTGGCCCAACAACCTAGCGCGAAGGGCCTTCAGGTTTCGGCTCAGTCGTCCTGCTCTACCCGTGCAAACTCACTGATACGAAGTCCAACCGTTGTGAGAAGCCCAGTTGCACCTGGGCTAAATTGTTTACCTTTGTTGTGTCCAGCGGACACTGATGTCCCAGCAGGTGAAAGTCTGAGTGCTGAAGACCAGTGGAAAGATCAGAGGACGAAATTACGAAGGAACGTTGGGCGTTTACGTTCTGTAAGTCAACAGTTAGCCAAACCACTTGAGGTTGGTAGTATACTTCGCCTTGCAAGGCCAACCTCGTCCGACCAGAGGCGTTATAATCTCGTGATCTTTCACGCACCGGAGTCCAGTGATCCATCACCCCAAGTGCGCTACGATCACGATGTCGAGTTTTTACAGGGTCTAATTGATAGACTCTTCGACGCTGGTGAGGACTCGGTAAAAGTGAGGCAGATTACCCGTCTTGGAAAGCAAGGTGATCAACAAAATCGGCCTATGAGAATCACTTTTGTGGACGAAGCCAGTCCAAAACTTATCATGTCTCGCCTAAGTAGGCTGAAAGGTTTGAAGATCCATGTTCGTCCCGATCTGGACCCAGTAGACAGGGAGCGGCTCAAGTCAGCCATCATTGAGTTGAAAAGACGCACTAGTGAGGGGGAAACAAATCTTCGTATCGTAAATTTTCGGGTGGTTTCCATCAATCCGCGAATCAGGATAAACAGGCTGCTCACACTTCAAGCACGCCCGGTGGCTCCTGCTGCGGCCTGCGAGTAGCCTTCACAAACGTTTGCAGTATTATGAATAAGCGCGATGAGCTTTGTTGTTTCGTTGCGTCTGAGCGGCCAGACGTAGTGGGACTCGCAGAGACATGGCTGCATGCAGAGTTATACACCCAAGAACTTGAACTCAACGGTTACTCGTGTTTCCGATGCGATAGACTAAAGAATGCCCACGGTGGTGTCTTACTTTACATCCGGTCTTCCCTGCGTGGGAGACTTGTGAGCACTTACCGAAGTGACGATGGCCTGTGTGAGCTACTGTGGTGCTCCATCCGCCTCAGGCGCGGAGAACTGCTTGTGGGCGCAGTTTATCGCAGTCCCCTGAGTCGTTGTTTGGATTGGCTGCCCATTCTTCGGACCCACATGAGTCGTCCACACTTTCTGCTTATGGGCGATTTTAACTGTCCTCGAATACGATGGCCTGATGTGCATTTGATGCCTGGACATAGTGAGGTTGAAGCAAAGTTCGTGGATTTGATACTTGAAACTGGTGCATCGCAACACATATGCCAGCCAACACGCATATCAACACGTTCAACCTCGTCCTGTCTCGACCTGATGTTAACGAGCTACGAACAACGAGTGCGTGACGTTAGGATCCTGGAGCCCCTGGCTACGAGCGACCACTCAGTACTGATAGCTGATATGGAATTATCTTTGCCGTATTCACATCCACTGCAACCAGCTCCCAACTACGGGAAAATGGACTTCGATGGTCTTGCTCGAGCCGCGAGCCAACTGGATTGGTCTCTGTCACAAACTGCATCTGTGGAAGATTGTTGGATATTTATAAAAGAGAGATTAACATCATTTTGTTCCAAATTTGTGCCAATGAAATGTCGAAAGGTTGGACCGATTAAGCCTCATTGGTTTGACAAGGAGTATAGAAACCTGGCTCGGAGGCGGCGCAGACTGTGGGACAAATTCCTTCTCTCTGGCTCTGCCAATGATTACGAAGGGTATAAATGTCAGCGGAATCTCTGCAACAGTGCAAAAAAGAATAAACGCCGACACTTTGAAGAGCAGCTCGCATTAGCCGCGAAGACAGCCCCCAAGAGAATCTTTGCATACGTGAAGCGACGCCTGAAGCCGGCGGGTGATGTGCCAGTGCTGGATGGCACGGATGGACAGCCCCTAACCTCCAGCTCTGAGCGTGCGTCCGCGTTGGCGGCGCACTTCGCTTCTGTATTTGCGAATAACCAGGTGTCTGTTCCGAGTTCGACGTGTACCGCTTTTACCGAACTCGATAGCCTGCATTGTGGCGTCGAAGAGGTAGCTCAACTACTCGCCAACCTTGACGGCACCAAACCTGCCGGACCTGATGGGCTTCACCCACTGGTTCTCAAGTCACTTTCAACCATCCTCTCTCCTGTCGTGACTGACCTTTTCAACAGGTCGCTCACCGAAGGTTTGTTGCCGGTTGACTGGAAATGTGCGCTGGTGAAGCCTATTCCGAAAGGCGGCGACCCTAGCAAAGTAGACAATTACAGGCCAATTTGTCTGACACCTATATTGGCAAAGGTTGCTGAGAAAATCGTGAAGAAGAGATTGCTGCAGTTGCTACAGTCAAACGAGGTCCTGACGCCCGCACAGCACGGTTTTATGCAAGGTCGCTCATGCATTACTAACCTGCTTGTGACGAGACATGAGTGGTTGAAGGCAATAAACAAGGGGAAGTCCGTCGACGTGATATTCATCGATTGCAGTAAAGCGTTCGACAAGGTCAGTCATGAGGTTCTCCTTCACAAACTCAGCATGTGTGGCGTCGGTGGCTCACTGCACCGGTGGATCCGCGACCTTCTCCGGTCGCCGTGTGCCTTGTTTGCGGACGACATGAAGATTTGGAGAGAAATCGACGCTCCCGATGACTGTGGCCTACTTCAGCAAGATCTCAACCGCTTATCCACATGGTTTGCAGAAGTTCTTCTCCCGGTCAACCCAGCCAAGTCGGTATTTATGAGCCTGGGGAAGGGTGCAGACGGCCGAACCTACACCCTTGACGGCCAAACGCTATATCCCACACCCTCCGTGAAGGACCTAGGTGTACTCTCACGCTACGATTTGAAGTCCGTGGACAATACGAACAGGCTATATCGGAACGGACTGCGCATGCTTTGGGCGCTCAAACGTAGCTTCTGCACATGGTCTGAAGAGGTTGCCACTCGCCTGTTCTCTTCTATCATTAGACCAATGCTAGAGTAAGGTTCGCCCGCCTAGTTTCCGATTACCCGAGGCGAGGCACAAAAGATCGAACGGGTAAACACGTTGCTACTAGGTTCATCCCGAGTTTACGTGGCTTTGGGTATGAAGACCGGTGCGAGAAACTAGGACTCTACACCTTGTCCTACCGTCGGGTGCGAGTCGACCTCATTATGACCTACCGAATTCTACATCTCGGTGAGTTCCCCATGTTAAGGCCAATGCTGCACTTACGAGGGCCATGCAGCACACGCGGACACAGATACAAACTTGTTGTGCCGGATATGAAACGTGTTCCCCACCCACTGTGCTTCGAACGGAGAGTGGTAAACATTTGGAATAGTTTGCCCGAACATGTGATTGAGGCAACATCTGTGCAACAGTTCAAAACGTTGTTAGATTTGCATTTTGCCTCTATTCGATTCAGAGAACGACTGCACACTTATGATGACATCACATTTGTGAATCCTGAAATATCGTAAGTCGAATATTTTAAATATTACATGAGAACGACAATGATATTCAAGGTTGACAACTTTTATAACGTTTTTCGCCATATCTCGAAAGAGTTGTACAGAATCCATTTCTACTTGCTCTATAATACAGTATTCAGTATATCGTTGACAAGGTGTAGGCGCATTGACCCGGAGAGCTTGTTTGGGGCGTTAAGGTTTTTACGGTAGATCCCCCTTCTTTTCCTGTTGTTGTTCGTTCTGTACATCACTGTGGTTGTACGGCAGGGAAGCATCAGTTCAAATGATTGATGTACTGCTATTATTGATGATGAGTACTTAGTATCTCACTTTCTAATGCACCTTATCTTTTTGTGTTGCAGCACAACACGTGCAATGATGATGATGATGATACATCGTGTCGGTGTACTGCTTATGTTTGCTTATTATGTCGTACCAGTTTGACCTTATTGACGGATTACATTTTTGCTTGGGTGCTGTTGTTCGGCCGCGTGGCCACTGGCACCCTTACATTATTTCCTTCGCTTTTTCTGGTTTCTCATTTACGGTACAAATTATTTCACCCAACTTTGCACTAAATTAGTGTGTACAAACTTGTCTGCGTTTTCTCTCTTTTATGTAATAGGGGCACTAATCAAACGAATTCCTTTTCCGGCCCGTATCTCTTAAAAATAACTACCTTGTCATCCGAGAGCGTAGATTCCAACCTGCGTAGTAACCGGGCGGCCCTCGCAGAATCTTCAGCCCACGTGCGGCCGCTTGTGGTTGCGCGGCAGCGAAGCGTCGGTGCTGTGTACTGCTGATACTTTTTTGCACCATTTAGGGCACCTTGATTCACAGCAGTGCGTTGCACGGCCCAGTTGAATAATCGGCTAATTTTTAATTCACAGCATCTTCTAAGAAAGGGCGCCGGTACGCAGTACAGACGCTTCGCCGTCACACAACCACCGCCAGTCACGCCTACGTTAAGGATACTGCGAGGATTGCCCGGTCCTCTACGCTGGCACGAACCTGGGATCTCCGGATTACGAGGAATGTGTGTGATCCTTTCGATCACGAATATATGTTCCTCTTCGCTCACCTCTTCCTTTTTCTTTACTCACCGTTCATGACCAACATGCAAGACAAATTTATTTCACAGTCACTGAGCAAGCACAATCACTATTCGTTGTGCACAAATGCGGTGTACACGCATTTCGTGAGCCGATGTCGCAGTTCAAAGGGGCCAAAACAGCTTTAACGTCTGAACGAGCCATTTTTGAACACACAACTCCGGCTTGTATAATCGAATCGCGATGGCCTCCGCGTATTCAAGCAAACGCTTTCGAACGCATTTTGATGGATTGTCCGGTGCCTGATAGATCACTTTGAATGACTCAGCCAAGTTGATGGCGTGGCCAGTGTCGGCGAGATACGTGACTAAGGATGAGCTGGTTTGTTTTCCACAAGCGGTCATGAGCCAAGCCGGATAGTGTTCTTTAACCCTTTCAGACAGGCGCCGCGTCGTTCGGCCTATGTACTCTGCCCCACAGGAACAGGAGAAAGAATAAATACACAATGGTTTGCAGTAGACGGGGCTCTTGCCTTTGGGACTAGTTCTAACCATTGGGTTACCGGCGAACTGGGTTTGCATTTTAGCTGCTGGGAAAGTGTGTCTGAGGGTATGAGAAAGGCGACGAGTTATGATTTCAGCAGCGATTTCTCCCTTGTATGGTAGCCGGAGAAACATGGGTTTTCGCTGGACTGTAAGGATTACGGGAGCCTTCTTTCTTTGCCCTATGTTGCCTTTCAGGAAACTGTCAGGGTAACCATTTTCTTTTAGCGTCGAAGATATGCGCTTCAGTTCCTCGGGAAACGTTGCATTCGAGCAAATTCTTTCTGCTGGACTCATTGGACTGAGAATCAGGTTCCGTTTTAATTTCAGTGGGACGAAACTGTAGAAAATCAGGTATTGTCCATTGCAGGTGTGTTTCCTATACACGTGACGTTGTAACATGTCACTCTCGAATCGCTTCAATGCCACGCGAGGAAGTCAGAAGTACCAGTTACCTCTACTTCGGACATGAACTTCAATGCTTCGTGTGCCAGATTAAAATAAATAAAATAATGTGTCAGCTGTACGCCGTAACGGCGCTTCGCTGCCGCGCGACCACCACCAGTCGCGCGCGGGCTGAGTAAACCGCGAGGACGCCCACCCCTACGCGGATTCGAACCGGTGACCTTATCGTTGCGAAGCAAACGTGCAGACCACTCGGCCAGTGGCAGAGTGGTCTGCACGTGGTAAGATCTTCGATAGCTCGATAGGAGTAGAGCAGTACAAAGATGTCGTCGACGTAACGGCGGTAAAGGCTAGGGTTCGTGATGACAGATTTCACCTTGCCCTGTTCAAGCATACCAATGAATACGTCAGCGAGACGGTTCAAATGGACAACCCATAGCAATTCCATCGTAGCATGCGTGCACTAGAAGCGACTTAAACTCTCCCAACTATGAGTCAGATGACGAAACTGATTGTGAGGTTTGCGCGTACAGAATTTCGAACTGAGCCTCGATTGCCAGTCTATTGTCCCTTCGAGTGGGAAAAGAGAACTTAGGGCCCAATGACAGGAATTCCAATGTGGTACGATCAAGCGTCAGGGTGGATAAATCGCAAACGTACTTTTGAGCTTCGGCTGGGAAACACAGTGTCGGTTTCTCTTCTTTTAGCGTCTTCGAGAGCGAACTACGTAGTTTTGTTCCTCACTTTGTGACGATTTCCTTGACCGTGTTCTCTAACTCCACACAATCCTTCCTCGAAAGGCTGGTTGGCAGCGCAGTTAACTGACTTAGCCCACGCGTGAGCTCATCCCTTTTAACGCGAGTGGTTTCAAGCTGACTGAGACCTTAACACGCTTCAGGCATACGTTGTCCGGCCTGATGAGTGAGCGAAGAAGGGATTTCCAATAACTCATTGGATAAATGGTTACTGTGAAGCACACGTTTTTTTATTTTATTACTATGTGCACTAATGTTGACAGCGATTCGCAATGAAGTAAACCTTGGCCGATTTGATCACTAGGACAATAAACGATGTAACGGATATGCGGTAACCCAGTAGTCTCCCGTCACTATATAGTCATTCGGTATTTACTATGGATGTGTTGGCGAACCTATTTAATCGCCAGACTATTGGTGTAGTGTAGACTAGCATGACTATGCCAAACTCATCATGAGTTTACTAAGCTTGTGCTGCACAAAACGACAAAAAGGAGCAATGAATGACAATCGCCCACTGCTTCCACAGTTCTGGTGCATTCGCGTGACCTCAAGGTAGCCTAAACTTAGTCTAGTCACCTCACTCCTCTGTCCTTGATAATAAACTGCCGAAGTAGGCCAGTAAAACTGGATTGCGTTTGATGGGGTCATGATAGCCTACATTATTCCAATAGTCCAGTAGCTGAATAGGTTCACTCACACCTACACAAAATACGCGAAGGCCCATATAGTGAAAGGGGACTACTGGGCCGGTGGCCGACTGGTCTGCGCGTTTGGTTTGCTACCATAAGGTCACCGGTTCGAATCCGCGTAGCGGTAGGCGTCCTCATGCTACACGCAGCCAGCGCAGGATTGGTGGTAATCGCGCGGCAGCGAAGCGCCGTTACGACGTACAGCTGGCACATTATTATTATTATTATTATTATTATTATTATTATTATCATTACCGGGTTATCGCATATCCGCTACATCGGCCACTATCCCAGTGATCAAATTGGTCAAAGTTTACTTCAGTGGGAATCGCGATCCACAGTGAGACTGCGCATGGCAATAAAATCACAAAACGAGTGCTTCACAATAACCATGTAAAGCTAGTTAACATTTGTTTAAGACGTAACAGACTATGTGAATCGAAGGTCGGTACAGGTATCGGATAGTTGCGGAGATAGTGTGTGGGTGAAACAAATACAAGGAGGCGATCGGGTGAGCAGAACATTAATC